AGCCCGCCTACTTTTCCCTTCTCCCCCGGCCCCGCCTCCGCTCCTCCCTTGTCCCCCAGCCCGCCTTCTCTGCCAGCCCGCCTGCTTTTCCCTTCTCCCCCCGGCCCCGCCTCCGCTCCTTCCTTCTCCCCCGGCCCCGCCTCCGCTCCTCCCTTCTCCCCCGGCCCCAACTCCACTCCTCCCTTCTCCCCCGGCCCTGCCTCCGCTCCTCCCTTCTCCCCCGGCCCCGCCTCCGCTCCTCCCTTCTCCCCCGGCCCCACCTCCACTCCTCCCTTCTCCCCCGGCCCCGCCTGCTCAACTTCCTTCTCCCCCGGCCCCGCCTCCGCTCCTCCATTCCCCCCACCCCGGCTTGCTTGCTTCTCTGCAGCTTTGCTCCCTTCTGCAGCTCTTGGCTTCTTTCTACCCTGTCGCGATATGCAAATTAGCCGCCATCTTTGTTGGATAATTTGCATATTCGCCCTGATTGGTTGGTGGGCGTGGCTTGACTGGTGGGAGTGGCTTGGGCATAGCGAAGGTGCGGTCAATTTGCATATTTGTCTATTATTAGATTAGATACTCCAGGATCTTCCCATGCTGTTAAAAAGGGTAAAATTTCTTTTTTTATGGCTTAGTAGTATTCCACAGCTTTTATACCCACTCATCTACTGATGGGCACTTGGGTTGCTTCCAAATCTTGGTTGTTGTAAATAATGCTGCAATGAACATAAGGTTGCATTTTTTTTTTTTTCAAATCAGTGTCCCAGGTTTCTTTGTATGTATTCCCAGAAGTGGAATTGCTGCGTCATAAGGCAGTTCCATATTAAATTTATTGAGGTAACCCTGTACTGTTTTCCACAGTGTCTGTACTAATCTAGATTCCCACCAACAATGCATGCATATGCATGTATATTTTATATATGTATATTTTAATCTTCACCTGAGGATATGTTTGTATTGATTTTTAGAGAGAGAGAGACACCTCAATGTGAGAGAGAAACATTGATCAGTTGCCTCCCTTAACACACCCTGACTGGGGTTCAAACCCACAACCAAGTAATGTGCCCATACCAGGAATGGAACCTGCAAACTTTTTGATGTATGGGATGATGATACAACTGAGAAACCCGATTAGGGCACTGCCTATGTTTTCTTATAGAATTTTTATGGTTTTGAGTCTAACATTTATGTCTTTAATCCATTTTGAGTTTATTATTGTGTATGGTGTATGAAGATGGTCTAGTTTTATTTTTTTTGCATGTACCAGTCCAATTTCCCCAATACCATTTATTGAATAGACTACCTTTACTCTAGTTTATGTTTTTGTCTCATTTGTCAAATATAATGGATTGTAAAGGCATGGGATTATTTCTGGGCCCTCTATTCTTTTCCCTTGATCTATATGTCTGCTTTTACGCCAGTACCATGCTGTTTTGATAACTATGGCCTTGTATTATAGTTTGATATCAGGTAGCATGACCCTCCAACGTTTTTCTTCTTTCACAAGATTGCTTTGGCTTTTCAGGGTCTCTTATGGGTCCATATAAATTTTTGAATATTTTTTGTAGTTCTGTGAAATACGCATTGGTATCTTGGTAGAAATTGTACTGATTCTATAGATTACTTTGGGTGGTATGGACAGTTTAGTTATATTAATTCTTCATATCCACGAACTAGGTGTAAGCTTCCACTTATTTGTATCGTCTACAATTTCTTTCTTTATTGTCTTAAATTTTTCCAAGTCTAGGTTGTTTACTTTCTTGGTTAATCTTATTTCTAGGTATTTTACTTTTTAAGCTGTTTTGAAGGGAATTGCCTAGTAAAATCGAAGCAATAATAATGGATAGACATTTCAGACAGAAAATCAACAAGTAAATGGTTGCCTTAAATGACACACTAGATCAGATGAATTTAATTAATATCTTAGAACATTTCACCCCAAAGCAGCACAGTATACTGGTAAATTCTTTATATGTGCATATAGAACATTTTCTAGGATATACCACATGTTAGTAAACAAAACAAGTCTCAATAAATTTCAGAAGATTTAACTTATATCAAGAATCTTCTCTGATGCTAAGGGTATGAAACTAGATATCAATCACAAGAAAAAACTGACTGAAAAACACACAAATCCGTGGGGCCTAAATATCATGTTACTAGGCAATAAATGGGATAACAATGAGGTTAAGGAAGAAAACTAAAGATAACTTGCAACAAATGAAAATGATAACACAAACCCAAAATCTATAGACACAGCAAAAGAAGTCTTAACAGGGAAATTTATAGCATTATAGGCCTACCTTAAGATAAAAGACAAATCTCTAACTATCTAACTTTACATTTAAAGCAACTTGAAAAAGAACAAACAAAGCCCAAAGTGAGTAGAAGGAAGGAAATAATAAAGATTAGAGCAGAAATAAATGAAATAGAGTCTAAAAAAAAAGTAATGCAAAAGATCAATGAAACAAAAACTGATTCTTTGAAAAGATAAGATTGATAAGCCTTTAACTAGACTCATCAAGACATAAAGAGATAGGTCCCAAATAAATAAAACAGAAATGAAAGAGGTGAAGTAACAGCTGATACCAAAGAAATACAAAGTATTATAAGAATACATATTGAAGAACTATATGCCAACAAATTGGACAATCTGGACAAAATGAATAAATTTCTAGAAACATACAATCTTTTAAAACTGTATATGGAAGAATCCAAAAATCCAAATGGACAGATTATAACTAGTGAAATTGAAGCAATAATAAAAAATACTTCAAACAAGGTCCTCAAACGGATATCTTCACAGGTAAATTTAACCAAACATTCAAATAATTAACACCTATCTTTCTCAAATTATTCCAAAAAATTCAAAAAGAGGGAAGACTCCCCAACTCATTTATGAGCATTATCCTAAACCCCAAACCAGATAAAGATACCACACACACACACACACACACACACACACACACACACACACACAAATTACAGGCCAATATCTCTGATAAACATAGATGCTAAAATCCTCAGCAAAATATTAGAAAACCATATCCAGCAATACATTAAAAACTAGAGACCCAGTGCACAAAATTCATGCACGAGGTGTGTGTGTGTGGGTGGGGGGGGGGGGGGAGGGGAGTGTGTGTCCCTCAGCCCAGCCTGCACCCTCTCCAATCTGGGACCCATCACAATTCAGGATTGCTGGCTCCCAACCGCTCGCCTGCCTGCCTGACTGATTGCCCCTAACCGCTTCTGCCTGCCAGCCTGATCACCCCCTAACTACTCCCCTGCCAGCCTGATTGACACCTAACTGCTCCCTTGCCGGACCGATTGCCCCTAACTGCCCTCCCCTGCCGGCCTGGTCCCCCCTAACTGCCCTCCCCTCCTGGCCTGGTTCCACCCAACTGCCCTCCCCTGCAGGCCATCTTGTGTCCACATGGGGGCAGCCATCTTGTGTGTTGGAGTGATGGTCAATTTGCATATTACTCTTTTATTAGATAGGCTATCATACAATAAGATCAAGTGGGATTTATTCTGGGGATGCAAAGTTGGTACAATATCTGCAAATCAATAAATGTAATGCATCACATAAACAAAATGAAGGATAAAAAACCACATGATCATATCAATAGATACAGAAAAAGCATTTATAAAATCCAGAAATAATTTATGATAAAAACTCTCAGCAAAGTGGAACAAGAGAGAACATACCTCAATGTAATAAAGGGCATATGTGACAAACCCACAGCCAACGTCATACTCAGTGGGCAAAAACTAAAACATTTACCTTAAGATCATTCACAAAACAGGGATGTACACTTTCACCACTCTTATTCAACAAAGTATGGGAATTCTTAACCAGAGCAATCAGACAAGAAGAAGAAAAAGAAGATATCCAAATTGGAAAGAAAAAAGTAAATCTGTGATTATTTGTAGATGACATGATACTGTATATAGAGAGCCCTAAAGATTCCACCAAAAAACTATTAGAACTGATCAATGAATTCAGCAAAGAAGCAGGATACAAAAGAAATATCTAGAAATCAGTTGTATTATTATGCCCTAATAATGAACTATCAGAAACAGAAACTAGGAAAATATTCCCATTCACAAGTGGGCTTGTGCCTCCCTTTGGATAGGCTGTGAAGTTTATTGGATCCTGCTCTGATGTTGTCTGAAGCTGGCTATTCATTGTCTTGGCCTGGGCCTCTGGGAGGGACTCTCATGCAGGCCAATGTCACATGCTGCCTGTGACTGGCCATGGGCAACCTATTTGGAGCAGCAGAGCTATCCACAGTTTGTGGCGGCCTCTGCTGGGTGTGGGTGTTCACAGGAAGGACCATGCTGCACATCAAGGTTGGCTCTTGATAGAATCGGGCCTGGAGAAAGGTCACCAAAAGTCCCAAGGCACCCCAAGACCCGCCTTTGCTTTCTTCCGCCTGCCAGCTGCTGTTAGGCTCAGTCACTGAAAAAGCCTCTGGTGGTACTGGGGTTACGTGACTTAGGTTCTCAGTGAGTCACCAGGTAGAGGCGAGTGGTGTTCACCAGACTGACACAGGGTCAAACTTGGTACCAGTTCTGGGTCCGAGATTGCTCAGCAAAAGTCTCAGCTTATACTAGTACAAGTCTAGTTGCTACCCTCTGGGTGCTCACACACCTTTATGGAGGAGCAGGGTCCCAGGGAGTCATCAGGGTGAGGCCAGCAGGGTCTCTCAGGCTCAAACAGACCAATATTTGAAGGGAGGACTCTGCACTGCTCAGGAGTGTATGGGGAAAATGCCCCCTGTCCTAGAGCCACAGAACTCAGTCTGTCCCAGATTCTGCTGGGAGGAGCCTGAGCTCAGCAGGGTTCACAAGTGTTCTTCCATTTAAAAAATATATTTTTATTGATTTCAGAGAGGAAGGTAGAGGGAGAAGAGATAGAAACATCAATGATGAGAGAGCATCATTGTTTGGCTGACTCCGCACACACACACACACACACACTCACACACAACGCTGAGGATCAAGCCTGCAAGTTGGGCATATGCCTTTACTGGGAATCAAACCATGTCTCCTGGCTCGATGGGTCAACGCTCAACCACTGAGCAACACAGGCTGGGCTGTTCTTCCATTTTTTAAGTCCATGTGATAATATTGAGTTTACCTGAAAATCCAGGATCAAATATTTTAAGGGTATAACCCTAATTAGATCTGCCAAAGTCCTTTTGCTATGTAAGGCAACATATTGACTGACTCCAAGGATTAGGGTGTAGACATTTTGGGGGTCATTATTCTGTCTATTGCAGTCCATCATTTGGTCCCCAAAGTTTCACATTCATGGCACATGCAAAATACATTCACTTCAACTGCGGTCTTCAAAGGTCCCATCCTATTATACTATCAACTCAAAGTCCAAAATTTTTATTAAATCTTATCACATAGAGTCCCACATTCCATCATCTAATTCATCTACATGTATATGTGTAAAGTTCTGGATATAACCCAGTCTTATTATAATTCCTCTTTATCTTTGGACCTATAGAACTAGAGAAACAGTTTATCTGTCCCCAAAATACAGTGAGGACAGACATAGGTAAAGTTATAGCTTTTCTGGTTCAAAAAGGGAGCAAATGAAGAAAAGTTCTCAAGCATTTTGAAATTCAGTTATGAAGCCCCATTAGTTTTTTAAAAATTATATTTATTTTTTAAAGTATTACACATTTCCCCTTATTTCCCTATTGACTTGCTCCACCCGCCCCTGCCCCAGGCCTTCACCACCCTATTGTCTGTGTCCAAGGGTTATGCATATATGCATATAAATTCTTTGGCAAATTTCTTCTAGCCCCCTTCCCTCTTCATCAGTGTGTTCCATGACTCTATGTCTCTGGATTTATTTTATTCACCAGTTTATTTTGTTCATTAGATTCCACATATGATTGAGATCATGTGCCTAATACCCTCCAGGTCCCTTCATCCTGTCTTAAATGCTAAGATATCCTTCTTCTTTTACAGATGCATAGTATTCCATGGTATAAATGTGCTGGTGGTATAGTGGTGAGCATAGCTGCCTTCCCATTAGGTTTTCAAGGCATGGGATAATTCTTGGTTCTACCCTCAGAGGACTCTGCTTTATCTTCTGAATCATCTTTTTTTTTTTCATGAAGGATTGCAAGGGTTTTTAGATGAATAAATTTATTATGCTATTTTCTGCAATATTTCTGGAGTCCAAAAATCTTCTTTCATTTTATCCTATAGCTGTCTCTCTCAATCCAACCTGGCAATGTTTTTGCTGCTATTTAATTCTCAATAACTTTATACATTACTTGGTATGTTAAAATTCATGCCATTAAATAAGAAATGTTCCTAGATTACACTATATCCATTTTGGCTTTTACTGAGATGGCTGGGGGACAATGCCACTCGGTTTCCTCAAGAACCTTGTTAGATTGAAGAAATACACAAGTTTCAGGCTTAACTTCTCAAAGAGGCTATTATATAAATACTCGGTACTTTTGATCATTCTGAAATACTAGCAAAGGTGGCATATCCTTGACTATTCCTCTAAATCATGCTTTCCTATGAGTGAATTTCTTCATTTTAGTGTCATTTGCTGTGTGGTTAGGTTGAATTTTTAAAATCATCAAGTTTTACTTTTTTGGGATTTTATTTAGAGTTTTATTTTCCCCTTTGATTTGTCACTTTCATCTAGTTTCTGTTTTTTTTAAAAGCATATGTGCTATAATTCCAGGTGAAATAGATTCATCTAGTATTTTTAATAAGGAGTCACCTAGAAGAAAATCATTTGGGAAAAAAATTATAAAGGATCCCAAGTCAAATTTATAGAAAATATTTTTTTATTAACTTTTGGTCGAGAATATGTTTGTATATTTTCAGAAAACAACTCTAAGACCGTGTGGATTCTGGCAACAGAGAGGAATTGACAGGACTGCTCCAGCCATGAAGACAGAAGAGAAGCAGTCCAGAGATGGAAGACGCTGACGTTGCCTTGCCCTACTAGCATTCAGCAGCTGTGGGTCACTGCAGGTTGCCCAGGACCAAACCAGAGAGGGTCGGACCTGCATTACCGCCATTTGTCCACCATCCAGAACTGAAATATCATTGCTGACATGTACACATAAGGAACTGTTTGACATTGAAAATGGGTCTCAAAAGAACTGTTGGCCCAGAAAGAAACTCACTACAGACTGATTAATTTGCCTTTCAGCATAACCATTATTGCTTGTCTCATTTTCAGTTCTTATAAGTGTATTTCTAGTAGCACATAATCTCACTCATCTAGGGGAAACGATGAACAACATAGACTGATGAACAAGAACTGACCCAGAGACAAGGAGGCATGGATCAGACTGTCGGACCTCAGAGGGAGGGAAAGGGAGGGTGGGGATAAAGGGGAGAGATCAACCAAAGGACTTGTGTTCATACATATGAGCCTAACCAGTGGTCAAGGACAACAGGGGGTGGGGGCATGCGTGGGAAGGGGTGTGGGATGAGAATGGGGGGATGGGGACAAATATGTGATACCTTAATCAATAAAGAAATTTAAACAAAAATAAATAAATAAATAAATAAAATAAAAAAGTTGAAAAAAAATAAGGAATCACTTGCTTTTTACAACAAAAGATGAACCGAAGTCTTGCCAATATATGCACTAAAAATAAATCTTCTGAAAATTTTCACAAGAATTTCTTTTTTTCAATGTGAAAGTTTGTGTTAAGAGGTAATTTTATAAATAAGTGAAGCATTATCAACCTGAGACCCTATCAGCTTCCTGTGAGAATTAAACCATTGTTATTTTAAGCTAATGAGTATTTGGTATTATTTGTTACTGCAGGATAATTTAGCCTATGCAGATGATCAGATAAGGAATTTCAGTGGTTTTATATTGATTGATAATTGGTTGCAATGGTGAAGTGAAAGGGGAGTTAAGCATTATTAGTAAGAATAAAATTATTCTTTTAGGAGCATGATATAAGGTAAAGGAAATAAATAGCATCTAGGCCAACCAAAGGCACATAAAAGAAATAAAAGAGCAATCATAGCATCATATACTTGTTTTTCTCAGAAAACTTCCTTTAAGTCAACAATTCAATATAAGTTGAAATAAATATATATTTGAACAAGTGAAATTGTATTACCACATATCCCTTTTTTAAAAGTAGCTCTCAAAGTGTTCCATATAATATGAGACATTGTTAAATACATCTTTGGAAATCTTTCACCCTTAACATGTTGTGTTTTAATTCATAAATGAAAAGGAATAATGTCTATTAATCTCCAGCTGTGGAATTATGAATGGTCATTAAATGTATTGTGTTCTGTATTTATTGGACAGTTGTTACAAAATCTAACATACTTAAAAGCTTAGAATTGCTGATGGGAAGGCTTTTATCTGGACATTCACTGATAGAAATTAATAGAAGCAGCAGTATCTACTTGGTTTTATTTCAAAGAGTTCAATTTATTCTCACTATTGAGACCTAATACATCTTTCTATTTCCACCTACTGAAAAAGAATCAGTTTTATACTTGCTTGCTAACTCTGCAAGCCTCAGGGAAACCTAATTAAAAGTGTTGGCTGTTCCAAAATTATTTCTCTTTATTTAACCTTGTAAGTTTCCAAGATTTTGAACATGGGAAACATGTAGTAAAAGAAAAATCATAAATCTGCAATTTGTTTTAATCCATTCCTTCTTTCCTGTCATATACTTGGAAATCAAACTTCTCTTAATATAATTTTTTCTATATGGCTAATGAACATCAGACCAAAAAGTTGAGTATACTATATTGAATAATTTTTTAATGATAAATTGTTAAAAGAAGATTTCTGGTTACCTTAGTCATCAAGGAATAAGCTCAAAAATCTAAAACTACTAGTAAAATTTTTAGTCTAGCTCTTCATTTATAAGAACTACTTATTAAACTCAATAATGGAACAATGTTTGGACTTTAATGAGATAAATGTGCTAAATAAGATATATATTTTTTTAAAAAGTGAGGGCAAATCTGATTAGAATAGCTATTAAGGGATAGAACTGTTAAACATTGCTGTATTTTGTAATTTAAAAAATAGCATTATTGCCATTTCCTAATGGCTGATATACATATAATTACTCATGTAATCCTCATAATTATATGGAGTTGTAATTACAAGGAGAAATTTGGGCTTTGGATAGGTTAGACAACTTTGCCAAGACTTGGCAGAATCTAGATTTAAACTTAAGTGTGCCTGACTCTAAAGCCTGTGCTCTAACAGAGACAAAAACAGTCCCAGAGATCAGCTTCAGTGGGCCTCTGAGTCACCTGGAGCTTCCTAATCATTTTCCCTGGAGAGGTTCCCAAGAATTAGCATTTCAACAATTTCCCAGTTGCTGTTGATCTGAGGATCACACTTGAGAAACACATTTTTTATTCATTTTTACTAGGAACCATGAAGAAACATTTAGATTTTTAAAATACACTCTACATAAAAAACAAGAAACATAATGCTTTTAAGAAAAACTTTCAACCAGGCTGGTGTGGTTCAATTGGTTGAGCATTGTCCCATGTACCAAAAGGTCACTTGCTAGATTCCTAGTCAGGGCACATGCCCAGGTTGCAGGCTCAGGATAGAAGACAGCCAATTGATGTTTGAAGTTTCTCTTCCTCTAGCCCTATCCCACACCTACCCCCCCTCTAAAACTCAATAAAAAATTATTAAAAAAAAAGAAAATTTCCATCAAAATATATATCATTTAAGTTATAACCTCTGTCACTTGGAAATTTTAATAAGTAGAAAACCTTACCCATAAATTTGTCCAAACTAATATGGTTTTCAATGAAAACTGATTCTGGTATTCATTTGGGAGCAGTATGATTATGCCAGGACATCCTTGAGCAAAGTCAATGATGCATATACTTTTAACTGCCAATCTGAGAGCCTTACAAAATAGAATCAAGATGTCAATGAATCAGTCTGTATTTTCAGGTAAATAAGAACTCCTGTTCCAAACTCCTTCTACACTCACACACTCACTACGTCATTGTTTATTGGTGGAGCACATTCATTCCTTTGTGATGATATAAATCATTTTTAACCAAGCAATGAAGGGTACATGA